CTGTCCGTCCTTAGAATGCTAACTGTCCGTCGTTAGAGTACTAACTGTCCGTCCTTAGAGTACTAACTGTCCGACCTTAGAGTACTAACTGTCCGTCCTTAAAATACTAACTGTCCGTCCTTAGATAACTAACTATCCGTCCTTAGATAACTAACTATCCGTCCTTAGAGTACTAACTGTCCGACCTTAGAGTACTAACTGTCCGTCCTTAGAGTACTAACTGTCCGACCTTAGAGTACTAATTGTCCGCCCTTAAATTACAAACTGTCCGTCCTTAGAGTACTAACTATCCGTCCTTAGAGTACTAACAATCCGTCCTTAGAGTACTAACTGTCCGTCCTTAAATTACTAACTGTCCGTCCTTAAATTACCTAAGCTGTTAATAGGACGTTAAATAAAAGCCAAACCATATTAGCTGTCATGCCTTTTCAGATGTTGGTATATATATGTGTGTACATTGTAAACTGTTACTAACGCCTACATGGTGACAGATGACATTTATTGTTGACAAACACGTTTGAACAGTATCTAATATTAGCTACATATGCGTAACCATCACAAACTCACGTAAATATAGATTATTCTCTATTTTTTCGTTAATGTAACACGTAACTCGTGACTCCTGTATAAGGTATGATACACCGATCATTTGACGTAAATACCAGCAGTGTTGTCGACACATATGCTTTCCAGGGAGGATCGAACAGAAATACGTGTAGTGACCGTATCCACAATATATATATATATATATATATAGTGTTCATAGTCACTGAACCAGTCAAAGCTTCACTTCACATATACAGATTTCTGCAAGATAACTATTTTATATACGCTCATCTAGCATAACCTCCTCACTGTTGCATAGATAATACAAACCTTACACATCGAGAAAATATGTACTTTCAGAAAAATCAGACGTAGCAGTAAGCGGATATAAATCCTTACTACAGCTGTCGTTCGTAATCGTATTAAATATAGTCCCTGAAATAGCATGTTTGTTACGTATAAATAAAGCCGTGTTCATCTATAAGAAATCAATGTTTTGCTACGAATACTACAAAATAACTATATACAAGAATGTACACTTTTAGCTCATAAGATAATTATCACATTTAGCATTGATGATGCTGATCCACTACGGTAATATCTGTTAATTTTTGCATAACATTTCTATCGTATTCGGTATTAAACATTAGGTATACCATGCATATCCTATTATCATTCATTAGGGCGAGTATGGAACTGCTGACGAAGGAATCCAACACAAGTCACATTTGCAGAACATGGAGACACTTTTCGGTCAATAAATGGAAACCGTCGATGCTACTGGGCTATTGATTGAGGCTCACGCGAGGATCCACAGGTTCCCAGTAACAAAGATGGCCGCAGTGGTGTGTTTATAATCCCAAACAATAAACCAATGCCCCCTCCCCTTCCAAATAACACCCCACTGTCTACAAACCTGCTGTCGTAGCCGAGTTGACTCATTTGGTCGTGACAACGCTTTCCCACTGCGACATGTCGAGCTGGATGTGAAGGACCGTCATCCATCAATACTGTGGACATCTGTCGTCTGCTCCCTTCTATCTAACAGACAAGCAGATCAGCTGTCTTGCAGAAAAAATATTCTGCAAAAAGATGTAGTTTGTGTTCAAAATATAATTTGCCTGAATGTATATTCAATGCACAGTGGTAGCAACCAGCTATGATGCAGAGGATGCTTTCCGTTCTAAACGCACTTGCATGCTCTGTTGGCGCACACAGTCCGAGAATCTGTGGTTAAAATGTGTCACCTTCCGTTCAGGTCTAATCAGCGGTACACTGTAAAATGCTAACAAGTCTCATCCACTACTATACATTGGCACGCATAGCCGATATCTCATCGAATCGATTTTCTAACTGTATCACCAGACGCAAGCAAATCCCAATGATAATCTGGCCATGCCAATCGGTGACATTCCCTCCTTCACACCATTTCCTACGCTCCAGGAAAAAAGCTCAATGTTACTAATACCATATTAAACGCTAACTGGCTTACATATACTTCCACACACCCATGGTAATTATTTTAAACATTCACTATGTACTAGAATATTGATATAGAAAATAGTGTACCTTTGTGTGTTTATTGTACTACGTTCCCTGAAGTAACATTTGTGATAGACATCAATTTGCATAGTATATAAACCAGAAGGAACGATATTGGCCCATTTAACTATTTAACACACTTTCTTTTATGAATAATAGAAATTTGGATTGAAACCCATTGATTGACATATAAGAATGGGGAGCTATTTTGACCATGTATAGTTACACGCGGGGTTTCCTCTGTGCAGTTGAAAGGAAGGATGTTAAGTCAACTGGAAATTATAGGGTAGACATGACATGAGGTTACTAACCGATAAGTCAAGGGTTTAGCCACACATGATGTTAAACAACATTTCAATGATAAAAGCATAAAGTTTCACAAAATTCAGAAAAAGTATAATCAACTGGCTTAGCGTACACTGACCTTTGCCCCCAAATTCACAAAGCAAATATCCAGTTTTCATCTAAATACCCAATCTTGTATATCTGCAGCGCCAGATGAATTTACCTGGTAAACAATCTCGTGATGGTTTGAGCAACAAGCAAATAATAATCTACCAAACACACTTGTCTTACGTACAAGGTAAACATGATATAATGTTTGCTAGACATATAAGCTACCACAATGACCTAGAGTCAGGGAGACATCTATTTTGAAATTAATTTACGAGTAAGATTCAATCTTTTTTTCTTGACGAGATGTCATCATGACACCTGTGAAACGCTCATTATAATATGAGTTTGCCTGCGGTGTTTTGATAGGTTCGGGGTTCCTTTTATTTTTTCGAGTCGAACTTTCATTACATATTTTGTACGTGTCAGATACAAAACACTTAACGAAAAGCTCGACCCGAAAATATAGATGTAAGATGCTTTTGTGAGATTGTTTTCCCTTTCATACTTCAAATGAGGATCGGTCGTGAAAATAACTATGAACGAATTTTCAGGGAATTAATATAATTGATCAGAGTTTAAAAACGTAATTGCGTTTACATGTACATTTGTGTGTTTGAAAACGATTTAAATCGTTCTTCTGAGGGTTCATATAACAACATATTCATCACGACAAAAATCTATCTTTGTTTTATTGATACAAATAATAATTCGAGGTTCTTATATATCGCTTTATCACGTCCTAGTTCGTTGGTCGTCTAAAAGAGGTTCACAAATTATTATCCGTGGTTATAGGGCCTTTGCAACCAGCCAATATCTTTCTCAACTCCCTGGGGAGCATACAGCCAGGGCTGCCATTTCGAAGCTCACAGTTAGCATTCAACAATTCTAGCACTGCCCAACCACGTACTCATTTAAAGCTGAGTAGACTGGAACAAGCGGAGTAACGTATCTTGTTCAAGGATACACAGTGCAATGACGTAATCCGCAACCCTTCGGTCAGGAGACCGGCGTCCTACCACTGGACTACCTGGCCTCCTAGGCGATAAGTTTTAGGAATAACAGATTAACTTTTCATCATTTTGTTCAACGCTTCTTCAATGTAGCATTCAAAAGTAACGTTTGAGATACAAGAACATGTGTTGACGTTAAATGGAGAAACCCTTTTATCATCAGTTGAAATATTAATGTATTATTTAAAATGAATCAAAACAACAATCTAACAATGATTTTAGATATTCTATTTTCATGTATAAATATTCATTAACATTCTTTGATAATAGTGCTTCAAATAGTGAAAAAACCTAACTCGAAATATATTCTTCGCGAACTTCAAACCAAAATAGCAATGAGGTCTGTGATATGAAATTTGATACTTTTTGTAAACACCGTTCATACGTTTGAACCATAATTCTACAATACATGTATATAGTGTGTATTTCTTACTCTGATTTTCTTACAAATTTTAAAAAACCTATTCCTGTTATTGTTTTAATAAAGCAAACATTTTAGCAAAATATAATTACAGGCAAAATTACGAGTTTTCACTTGACTATAGACCAAATAATAAGAGGTTGAAAATTGCTGTCAAACAGTGATTAAATTAGTCAACTTTTAAACAACTGGCCCAAGATGCTCCAGAACGATAGTCGTTTCCCTAAAATATTTGGCCCCCGTCATGATGTTCCCCGCCAGATCAAGGTAGTAATCCATGGGATGACTTTACAATGAGCGTTAAAGTTGATCCGGGCGATCAAATAATTACCGTATCCTTCAAAGCCCCTATTAATCTACGATCATGTATCAATGCCAACTACTGTTGTCCCATTCCTCTGGCAACAGGTGGTGTAATGATAGCAAAGCATCTTAAGATTTGTTATAGATATGTACATACGATATATTAGTTGATAATCACTTTATACCTAATACTGTATATGGCTTGCATGTGAAAAATAGACATCATGACTGGTGAAACTGGAGAAAACGTATTTTTATGAACCTGGTTGGTCTTGTACTCACACAGGTCAATTGTAAAAAAACCATAGGCCATATATATATATATACATTTGAAAAACCTATTCAGTTTACAAAAAGTAAACGCATGCATGACGTTCGTTGAAATGACGCCTGCACTATATTTAATAATATATATGATATCATAGTAAATTTGATATAATTCACCGTAATACCTCAAATTTCCCATTTTAGACAAAATTGATTCTGATCTTATCATTTGAACCAGTTTCTTGTGAAGATATGGACGAATATGTAGGAGGGATGATAGGAATGATGAGATAAATGCCATACACATCCTAATTTTATACGTAGCGATGTTTAGTCATTAAGATTTGTGATGAAAAGGATGGAATTACTGTATTTGATTTAAATAAAAGGCGACCAACTAAACTAGGTATTTCAAGGACGTGATTTCCCACAGCCCAATTTAATCAAACCTTAGAAACTTTTGCAGCATCCTTAAAAATATTCAGCGCGCAAGCTTGAAAACTTCGAAAGGCCGCAAGGGCCTGCCTTATGGCCTGCTTAATGACACAGTCATTGATTTAATGCTAGGTTCTCTTAAAGACCAATTAAAATAATATACACGTGCAATTTGATATATTAGTTTCTCCCAAAAGTCTGCTGCAAATGTTGAGCCGAAATATGAAGCAACATATTACGCGGTAAAAATGTTAAGTGATCTGAAACATTTGTAATTTTTCAAGGAATGTTTTAGTAATGTTAACGAATGACTGATTCACCTGCACATTTGACGAAAATACTTTTGATATTAATCGGACCATTATATTTGCAAATTTCAGAAATTTCGAAAAGCCCGTTAACCGGTTAAGTTGTCATCGAAAGGACAGATTGCGACAAAGTTAGAATGTGGAAAATCTCTATGTGAGACCGTTATAGGGTTAACTGACACACCCGAAACCCTCATTAGTGTTTAAATAGGCTTTCTAGATGTTTTTATATATAGATTTTATACAATTGAACAGGTATCACCGACATACAGATACAGTTTTGATACGACATATATTTATACCAATACTCATGGTATGATAGATGCGGTACAAATGGTATTAATTATTCGTATATATATCAGGAATATCCTTAATTAAAGACATAATCTTAATATTCGGCATTTCTCCCACTCAATAACACCCTAATACAATTTAAACCTACAAATATCTGGAATGTCCTTCGTCATTATTAACACTAAGCTTATATTAATGCAAATGAAATGTAAAATGACTTTAAAAAACAAACAGGGTACATGCTACATTTGTATATAGTTAAAACTCACAAAAAAAGAACATAGAAAGGGTAAATTCTGAAGAACATTCATTCTGTATACCGGGGAATTTTCGCCACCGTTTAACTTCAGGCTTTTTCGCTCGCAAAAACGAGGGCGAATTTATCATTATACCGAATGCTTGTCAAACCAAAATGTACCTAGTAATTAAATCCGAATGGTGAAATTAAAACTGGATTTTACCTGCAAAGGGCAAACTGTTACCTGGTATACAGTAAGTTGTTAAACTTTAAATTGATTAGTGTTTTTTTAATATATATTTTCAACTTTTAAACAAAGAAAAGGAATAAACAAATGAATATGAGGCCAAATATTCGTTTTTGTAAAGCTGAACAGCTATTGGGAAATTTTAGTCGATCATATGAAAACATCTCTATTGAAATAATCAAAATAACGTTTATTGTATTATATTAAACTAGTTTAGTAAGAAAAATAGATAAACACATAAAATATGAGGATTTTTTCAAGCTGAAAAACTGTTAGAAAAATGAATTCGATCATTTGTAAACAACTTTAAAAAAATAATAAAATAACGTTTTCTTTACATAATTTCACTTACCCTCGTCTTGCGCGGAAGAAGTCAACATGTCACGATGGCATGTAACACTTTGCAGACAGTGTTTATATACAGACAGATGTACTCTGATTCGCTGATACATTTGTTGTTCCCAACTCGCATCTTTACAAAAGAATCTACCATTGGTGGTAATCATGTTTTGTTTAATCAATTATACGACTAACAGGTGCCAAATGTCAAATGTCAAATGCTACTCTTTCGAATTTTGTGTGGGTTTATGAAGTCTTTGTTTTTGTTTCAGACTTGTATTCCTCCTCAGTACCCCTGTTTTCCTTTCATGATGTCCCTGCGTTCACAGAGTTGTATTTGATTGATGTCCTCTAATTGCTGTAGATAGGGCGTTTAACCTTATACAACCAATCTCACTTTCTTGTGTTGTTTTCTTCCGATGTCGTCCAGTTATTTGTTAGATTCGACTTCGATTTACATGGTTG